TGCCACCTTCATGTCAGAATTTTACAATACAAACACCTAAAACAAACAAAAATAAAATAAAATACTCAACAAAAACATATTGGTTTGAATTTTGAGAAAATAATAATTTTTTTTATGTGAGGACAGATTCATAAGTAAATTTACAGCCTGTCATTCCTTGCATAAATGCATGTTGCCTGCCYCCTTCATGTCAGAATTTTACAATACAAACATCTTTATTTATTTTCAACCTTTACTTAACCGGGCAAATCCCACTGAGATCACAGATCTCAATTTTGTGAATCGATTTGGTCAAACTTTGACATTAACTTTATGTGCAACCTGATACAATTTATTAGCTTCATTAGTATGCCTGTCAGCAACAACCACATCGACCKTCAGTCTAAGACTGTGTATGTGGACGGTTATGAGCTGTGATGGCCATCTTGAAGCAGTTTGACCACAAAACTTATCCAGTTGTATTTGTAAATCCAATAATTACTTTATGACAGTTTCATCAACGTATATTTAGAGGTTCATGAAATACAATAATTTGCTGACACTTTTGGCAATCAAACATGTACTTACTGTCAGTTTCAACAGAACTTTGATACACAAAACACGACAACATCCACCAGAGGACCCAGCACTTTGTCCTGTGGAAAAAACGAAAAAAAAAAAAAGGTTGAAAAACTGTGTGTATTTGCCAAAAAGCTGTGAAATAATGGCTGAGGGTGCGTGCTTAAGACAAAACGTTTCTGGCTGAATAAACCTTATCTATTTAATTACATTGGATGGTTTCAGACAGGGTTTGAAAACTGAAATAGTAATAATTCAGCAGTACCTGTAACTTTCTGGTGTCTTTAATTATTCTTCCTCATAATTTAAAGAAAAGAAAAGATAGTGATAAAATTTGAACCTACCACCACATTGTCTTGGTTGTAAAAACAAAAAAGAGGTCAGCAGGGAAATTTGATAATAGTTCTGAGTTAAATCTGGTTGTTAGTTTACATATGAAARTAGTCCTTAAACTTGGACTTTGAATTTATTAATCTCTTCCAGTGCGATAACATTTTAAAGTCAATAATCTTTGGTTTAAAACAAATTCCATCAAAAGGGCAATATTGAACTCTCTCCCTCTCAGCACCTAGGTGTTATAGATTAGTTAGCAGCCTTTGTCTAGAAAAAAAACATGTACCAATATAATTTTCAGGTTGAAACGGCGTGTCAAAGCTATTTTTCCAGTTTAAGCTTCCGAGCCTGTTTGAAATAGGTAGACAAAAATATACGCTTGTTAGCCGGTTTATTGAAAAAAATAATAAAACCCTCCAAAATGAATAGGTCTGGCATAATTATAAGCGCCGGTAAAAAGCAACTGGTTACCATAGGCTGTCAGACAG